TTTACGAAAGCCTGGGTTCATATATATTCACCTAGATCAAAAGACTAGGAAAACCAGAACTAAATATCCATATAACTTAAGGATTTGTCAATGCAATGTTTGGAGAAATTTAACTGCTGAAACGAATACAGTTGCATTTGCATTACCACTGAGAATATCTGTGATTGTACTTTTACAAGACCTTTAACGCAAACCCACTGCACATATATGCTTAAGCCTCACTGGCATAGTTATGTTGATGGCACAAAAAGCAGTATCTATGAATTCATAACGCTGGGAATAGTCCTTGTACAGTGCAGTTACATTAAAAACCATAATATAATCCAAATTATAAGATATAAAAATATCAGAAAAATATTTAAAAATTGTGTGTACATATCCATGTTTCATAAATTTTATGGAACTACTACACTGACAAGCACTTTTATATAGTTAGTAAAAGTGCTAAATAAAAGCAAGCAACCACTTCAAGTCTCCAAGTTCATTTATCAGCGAAAAGGAATAATGCTACAAGCAAGTTCTAGAGCCATGAGCCAGGTACCAGAGCAGGAGTTAAGGCAGCAGCCCTAGTCCAGATCGACATAAGTTGCCAAGAAACCTCACTTTGATTCTAAGGTCATAAGAGCACAGGACACACTTTCAGACTGCAACTTAATCCCTGCATTTCTCCATCGAGCTAGAGTACAAGTATGAATAGACATCACGTTCTTCATTGCCATCTGTGCTTTAAAACTCCAGTTTTATAAAATCTGGTAAATTGAGTCAGGCTAAGTTACTGTGCCCCTTTCAAATTCCTAACAGATACTTACAAATGATTTAGAATCCAAGAAGAGAATGACATCAAGTCTATTAATGGAAACCTCACATATTCCATGGCACACGGTTAAAAGCATCTTTTGATTTCTTCTTCTGCCATACAGTAACTCAGTGGATCTTAAGATCTCTGTATCATTCTCTTCACTTCAACCTTTCACAGTGCTGGCAGCATTTGTTCCTTTGCTTTCGAAGCTTCGTGATCAAAATACATAAGAATCAACTGTTTTGTTTTTTTTTTCCACCTGAAATCCCTCCTTGTCAAAACATAAACACTAACATTCAAAAAACCCCCACCACACAGATGCACACATTCATGCATTCAGCATCTGCTCAACTCTGCTAAAATATTTCTCTGCTGCTAGCCAGTGAAAAACTCCAGCTATACAACCCAGGTAGACTGGGACCTCTGGAGTTACTACTGGCATTGTAACCTCAGCAATAAGGACTTGGTGAAAAGCCCTGACTGTAGTTTTGATAAAGGCATGAATTCACAGTTGTGAACCTCCACTGGTCACCAGACAATGCTGATAAAGGAACGAACCTCAGCATCACCAACACTGACATAATCACAAAACAAACACAGGAATTATGCTGATCTTCTCTGGATTGCTGTTTCAAGTGGTAAGGTCTTGAGAAAGGCTAGAAGGTGGTATACAGAACTGGGAACTTGTGAACTGTTTATATGAAATGAGAAGATATGGGTTGGAACACAGGAATTGTAAGAAACTGATTCTTGGCTCTAATATCTCCCCCAGCAAAAGGTGAGCGAGTATCCCATGGGGTAGTTCACGGGAAAGTCTACCTCAGAGCAGACAGCACCACTTGCTCATGTAAGGCATTCAAACAAGGGCATATGACAAAACCAGATGAAAAAAATGGAGAATAGTGGTTTAAGGCCATTACCTTCATAGTTTGCTTCAGCGCACACCCAGCTGTCAGCAACAACTCACTTCCTGATGAGTTCATCGGGAAATATTTGAGCCCGTTTTGTCCCCTAACACTTCATTTTATCAAGCCACCACTTTAATTAGCTCATGAATAACTGAAGTTCAGTAAGTACAGTAGGAAGGAGTTAGCTCCCTGGTGAACGCTCACTTTCGACTATGTTAGCATAGATTCAGTTAGGCAATTCAGTTGCTTTATTCACTGGGCTTAATACATTTTGTTACTAAGCAGGTTTTGGTTAGTTTCACTTTTTCTTCTGAGACCAAGTGCAGCCAAATCCTTTCTGGAGATACAACTAAATCTCCCCCTCCTTCAAACTGCTTATTGTAAAAAGACTCGGCTGCAATAAGAGGAGCATCTCCTACAATTTTGACCAGCAAATATTTAAGGATAAAGCAGCTGATCTCTCAAAAATGACAGACAGCTTTGGGAATTTTAATTTTCCAAGAAAACTGTAACTCTTCCATCCGTTGCAGAGCATAAGGCATGCACAAATCAAATTATCACTGACCAATCTGTCTTGTCTTATAAAAGTATTTTACAACTTTTTGAGAAACAACCCCACTGTCATTTCCCCCCCCTTGCTTTTATCCCACCTGGCTGCTTGTTTCTTTCCTGATATGTTCTTCTTTCTCCCTCCCTCCCAGTTATGCTAGTCCACTTACATGACTGTGTAATGAACCACACGAAGGAGCTCATCCAAAACAAAAACAATGTTTAAATCTTATTTTTAACCTGGATCACTTCCCTGATCTGTCTCATCATGCAACTGAGCAAAAAATTTACCAGAGCAACAGAAGGAGATAAATGCCAGCGTGGGAATGAGTTACCAGGCCTGCTTGCACTGGCTGTGTTGTTTATATATGCTTCTGAAATTAATGGAAACATTTTGGTGAAACCCAACATATTTCCAAAGATGCTGACAGAAAAGACTGTGGCCATCAGCTCTCTCTTGTTCTCTAGAAAATAGAGCCTTTTACACTGTAGGACACAACCTGTGAAAAAACTATATCAGCTGCTTCACTTTAGCGAAAACCTGCAAAAGTCACAGCTTTCACTGGAAATAGACTGAACGTAAACTTTCAGTTATGACTACTGACAAACAAAACCAAACAGCATCCTAAAAATAATTCAGAAAGTTACCAACTGTACCAACTTTAGCTTAGATTTCTCATCAGTATCTGTAAGAGTTCAGCTTGCCAAAGTGATTTCAACTTAAGAACAATTTTACACTCTGCAGTCAGACTTGTGATATGTAGTTTTTTGCAAAGGTTGATTATTAATGGTGATGTATTGCCCTCGAGAAGACTAACAAAGCATTAAACAAAGGGAGACCTTGCTCCTTTTTTTTTTTTTAAAACATTGTGTTATCTAAACAAGAACTCTTCTCTAATAAAATATATCAGACAAACCCTGGATTTCAAAAACTTACAAGAACTAAAGACCTGAAATGAAAGTGTACTTCTTGAACTTCAAGTAGATGACATTTATAGCTAACCTCTACAATCATGGCAATTTATATTAAGGTAATTTAAGCAGTGCTGAGAATATATTAACATGCGTTTTTCACTCAAATGTTTGACAAGTTACTTACTGTAATGATCCAGCTTCCTTCCACTATTCTATAAGTAAAGTTACGAACCAGGTGTTTGTAACTTTAAGTGTGACTTACAAGCATAGATAGCTGAAGTCAGAAAGGCTTTAAAAACCATCCTGCTTCATCAGTGATGTATCGAACAACTGAAAAAGTAGCTTTAACTTAATTTGTATCAGCACAAATAAGGAAATGACCAATTGCCACAAAAGGACAGCAACAAGCAATACTGTGACTGAAAAGCACGATACAGTGGTGGATTTAACTGCATGCACATTCATCACCCTTGTTAAAATGTAATTAGGCCTCTTACAACAGGTAGTGAAGATTTTAAGTTACAAGCTTCTAATTAGAGGTCACTACGTTCGCAACCAACTACATCACTACAACGGACTGTGACCCCCCCCCC